ACCCTCACCTATCCACCCTCCTCATTGGCACTAACATTGGGCTCGTGTGAACGTGCCCAAACAACCGCAGTCTTTTTCTATCATCTTATCCGTCATAGGCGCTAAACCCAACTCTACTCAAAAGAACTCATTCGGCATCGTGTCTAGCATGGTCTGATCCATCCGAGCATCATCATTTCAGCCACCTCCATCTTCCTCTTAGTTTCCTTCTTAGCTGCCCAAACATTTTGTGCCATACAACATCGATGGTCATGACTACCTTGTAAATTTTTCCCTTCAGCTTCAGTGGGGCCTTCTTGTCACACATCACTCCCATGACTGCTCTTCATTTTAATCACCGTGCCTTTATGCAATGAGTAACATCATCATTGTCCTCAACCTCATTCAAAATCATAGAGCCTAGGTACTTGAAACAATCCTTTTGGGTACCCTTTGTTCCCATATGTTGACTTATGTCTGGTCTTCATTGCACTCCCTACTGAAATTGCACCAAATGTATTTGGTCTTGGACCGACTAATACGCAAGACATAAGTCACCAGTGTTGCCCTCCACTGTTCCAACCAGTGCTCACCTCTCTTTTCATTTTCGCTACCAATAGAATGTTGTCAGCAAATGACATGCATATCCTGTATTGCCCTAAAATAGCTCCATGGTACGCATTCTCCCCTAAGCTCCTCCATTTCAATTTATTTTGTTGGAGATTTTAAGTATTTGGGTGTTACGTTATGATTTGTTTATGGATTTGAAGTAACCTCCCTTCKATATGGAAATAGGGTATTGGAATTTGTCTCGGTAAGACGAGTATGTATCCATCAATAAGGTAAAATAGGGTATATGTTGAGATGACTAAGAGTAAGAGAAGAATGCAATGCACCTATTTATGGTAAGAATTACTAAGAAATAAAAAATAAAAACCTTAACTATTTTTTCRAGGTTGTGTTCTATAAGAATTTGATATCCAAAATCTAGGGGAAAAGGCCTAGAGATGGATGGAATAGTTTAAATAAATGTTGCAACCCAAATGGACTAGCCATTTGAGGTGGTTCGTTGCGGTCAACTTTTTTCTTGGACAGAAGAATACGCAATGAAACGGTCATGACTAGCACACATTACTATGGGGTGTGCTCAAAATATACAAGCACGTACAAACACAAAGATAGAGAAAGACCAGTTATTTTAATTCTTCTAGAGAACAAGGTAAGAATTACTAACAAGAGATTATCTATAACGAGGGAACCAATGGATTCTGGTAACTCGCCGATTAGATTGCAACTCCTCAAGATTCTGGCAAGATTGAGTTTAGAATGCATTAAAAGATGAAACTGGTAAAGGCTATCATGAAAAGCATTAGAAAGTGATTCAACTCACAAGTTCTTGAAACTTTGATTAGCAAAGGATGGAAAAAGTGTGTCTGGTCCTCTCAAGTCGCTGATTCTCCTGCATCTCTTGATTCAGTCAACACACATACTTGATCAAAATTGCATGCGAATTAAATAGATGATATATGTGAGAAATTACTGACAAATCTGATAAAGTTTCCAAGAGAGTAATGCTAGGAGGTATTGGCCCCTCCAATCCACTAGCCTGAATCCTTCTACAATTCATAAAATTTTAATTCAATCTAAATGCTATAYACAACAAGTGGAAAATGAAACAATAGGCAAATTTCTCACAAGCTCTTGAGTTGTGTCCATTCCCCTATAAAATCGGGGATCTTCCCAGATAAACTGTTACCACCAATCCGACTGCGATGGAAATAGAAATAAAATGGTTACTTATGCAAGGCCAAATTAATGATAACCAAATCCAACAAGGTAGAACTTACAATTCCTTTATTGTGAACAAATTTGCAAATGATGTAGGCAACTCCCCAGTAAAATTGTTGGAGTTCAAAAATCTACAATAAAAAATGAACACTTACATACATGGTCGAGTAAATGAGATATAGAAGGCATCAACAACAATACCAACAAATTTTTCATGAAGTCTTACAATCTCTCGATTCTTGAAAGGCTCCCAAGTTCCTCAGGAATTCCTCCAGACAGCTGATTGTCCTCTACAGAGCTAATGAACAACAGAATTGAAGCCATAAACAACAAACGAAAGTTAGAAAAGTTATATAGTAAATTAAAAGAAATAACAGATTATTAGAAGTTTACAGAGTTGTGAGTGTGGTAATATTTCCGAGTTCCTTTGGGATTGATCCAGTTAAACGATTCCCAAGGAGAGAACTGCAAAATTTTAAACATATATCATCTTAAACATCACCATGCAACATCTAASAACTAAACCCTCATGTTAAAGATTATAGATACATAAAGAAGTACATGTTTACAAGAYGCTCCATGGAACCCCATTCTGGAGGGATGGTACCATTGAGAAAGTTGCGGGATAAGTCTCTGTAGGAATGAAATACACCAATCAATTACCTTATAGTGGAAGTTAAATTAACGAACAATAAAAACCAAGAAAGGAGTGTACATATTTTCAAGGAATYGGAGATTGACAAATTCCAGCGGGAGAGTGCCTGGTAGGCTTTGTGCTTTAAGAYTTCTGCATCTCATAGCAACCAAAAGACCATTAAAAATAGCGTGAAGTCACTCTTTACATGAGCATTCAGAAACCCTAATTTTGGTAATCAATAAACTTGTAAAAAATTCAATTCATACTTCTGAAACTTGAAAACCCAATCATATTGTTTCAAATTTCTTTGCGCAATCAAGTTGTTCTCAGAAAAAGGAGCACAAACAGTGCGCCAACACCTTGAAGAAGAAATAATTGAAATGCGATTCTTTGTTTCAGTTGCGTCTTTGCAATAGCGTTTAGATGTATCAAAATTTTGATTTGATTTCCACTTTGCAATCATGTTTAGATATAGGCTGTTGAGTTTACTGAAAATTTCCGTTAACTGAAAGCGTATTGGCCGTTGAGTTTAAAATTGAGTAAATTACGTTTTTCATCCCCATGGTTTGTTAAAATTCTAGATTTCGTCACTGTGATTCTAAAATTACGATTTTAATAGAGACGAAAATAGAAATAGATTGCATATCATGGGACGAAAAAAACAATCAAGTTTAAATTATAAGGACAAAAATAATAATAAATTATGATTCTGAGGATGAAAATCTTAATTATAAAATCACATGAATGAAAATATAAATTTTCAATGAACCATAGAAACGGAAATGTRATTAACTAGATTTAATTAAAATATTATTTAATGCTATATACTTAAATATCTATTTGTGGTGGTGGTTGGTGGAGGTATTAACAGTAATTAATGGTAATGAAAATAAAAAATATCTGATTTATATAATATAAGGGGTTCATTTTCTCACAATCCAAATTTTCATTCTTAATCAAAGTGAGGGGGAATGAAAATTCAATTATATATTACACCTAAAGTTCAAGTCTTATATGATTGTTTCTTCTGTTTGAGATCAACTTGAGCTCGTTCAAATCTCAAATTGTTTACACTCCTAAATATATGTGTGCAATGCAGCATGATGCATCTACATTCTGTCACTCTCGCTTTTACTAATTAATGTGTTTTAAGCAAGCAAGAGGGTTTTAGGTTGGTTATGAATTAGTTCCATAAAATTCAAGCACAGTAATAAATATAATAAAATGATTGTATGCATATATTTACATGTATATGTAATTAGTGATTAAAATTTTGAAAACCAAGGTTAAAAATATATAAATTTTTATTTTTGTGGTGTGATGTGTGATGAACATTAATTAGCGTTGTAATGCATAGTCTAATGTGAATGCTAAGTAGGTACCAATTTCATATTGGTCAAAACAATAATTCATGATTGATGAAACCGTTGAAAGTTGAGCCGTGTTAAATTCCATAAAGTTGCAAGGGTATTTTTGTCATATCTTCTAACAATAAATCACTCATTTATATATATATATATATATATAGAGAGAGAGAGAGAGAGAGAGAGAGATGGTGGGTTCACGTGAAACTAGTCTGTTTTTATAAGACCCGTGAGATCATTGTTTTACAATTAAAACTTCACAGCAAAATGTTGTGAATATAAAAAAACTAAACATTCACAGCAAAACCATTGTAACTTCACAGTGTTTTGCTGTGAATTTTAAGTGCAAAAAAGTGGTCTCATGAAAACATGATGGTCTCACGTGATCCCAAATCTATATATTTATCTATATATATATATATATATATATATATATATATATATATATTTATATATATACATATTTATTTATTTATCTATATATATTCATCTATATATATATACGGTTTGGTTTCTGTGAGAATGAGAGTTAAGGTGAAAAACGTAAGAAAAAATCTGGACCCTTGATCATCTTTAATCTCAAACTCAATCATGAATTGTGCTTGATATGAAGATTGATTCGGTGGATTTCGGTGCATCTCATCCTACTTGCATCCAAGGGTGGAGATTATTTCTTACGCTTCTCACCTTGGCTCTCATTCTCACACGATCATTTGCCTATATATATATATATATATATATATATATAATAAGAGAGAGAGAGAGAGAGAGAGAGAGAGAAAGAGAGGGTGGGAACGGTTATTATGCAACCCTTACAATCAAATCAGGAATGTCCACTTGATCATCAATGGTTAAGTAGAACAAGGTGGTTATGCCCTTTTATATTTATAAAAAAACAAAAACTACCGAAAATATAATGGACAGCCAAGATATGGGTTGCATTTGTTGTATAGATTTGAATGGTTGCATCCCCCCCCCCTCTCTCTCTCTTTATATATATATATATATATATATATATATAATCATAGGTTCATTTGAGAAGTGGTAAGTATGTAGAAAGTAGAGAAGTGATCATAGCCTTTCGCCTAGTCAAAATTTATGGTTTTAACTATAAAGCACTAGATAATTCCTCACATGGTATGCGGAAGATAGAGAGATAGTTTCATAACTTCTACAAATATACTGCAAAACAAGTGCATATGTGAATCTGTGTTATTCACATATAAACTATATGTTCATATGTGATTCTGTGTGATTCACATATGAACTATTTGACTGATTCACGAATGAACCCGTGTGATTTATATATGAACTAATTAACTGATTTACATATGAATTATGAGTTCATATATGCACTTGTTTGTCGCCTATTTATAAACTTTGCTAAACTATCCCTCTATTTTTCGTTTGACCAATCAAAGCCTTAAATTTTGACCAATCAAAACCACAATTCTTAACAAGTCTTGACCGTATGAAAGGCTAGGAAGAAGAGGTTATAATATTTCTAAATTAAAGAAATCTCCTACTCCCTATTTTTTAAATTGAAAAATACGAAATATGTCAAAATTCAACGAAGCAAATTACATAAAAAATACACTCATATTTTTCTCGTTAACTTGACATCAATATTCATATGTATATAGAGAGAGAGAGAGAGAGAGAGAGAGTGGTCAAACGAGAACGGTACCTATTTAAAAGAACACGAAAACGGGAAAATCACGTGCAAAATCACATGTGATTTTACATTAATAGTTAACAAAAAGTGTTCGGGCGACTTGTGGATGCGTTTTTCAGGTTGTCGGGCAAGGTCGCCTTAATCACATGTGATTTTGTATGTGATATTAGTGTAAAATCACATACGATTCATCTTTTTTCGTGTTTTTTTAAATAAATGTCGTTCTCATTTGATCCTCCCTACAAACACATATATATTGTATAGTAATTCACCAAAAAAAAAGTTAGAGAACAAAAAAATTACATGCTAACAATATTGCAGGTGGTGTTGGCTATTGAGCAAGTGACGTTATTTGCATCGTCACGACCAACAGCAGCAGAGACCCAATTTCCTCTTCCGGTGCATGGATCCTCGTCGAAATCCCAATTTTTACCCAACTTCCTTCCGATTACCCTCAATGCATCCACTGTCATAAATCAAAACAAGAACATTAAATATAAAATTTGAAGTTCATATCTACTTACAAACATGAATCATATCTTAAAAACCTTCATCARAGGGAAGACAAGTTGTGTTGATGGATGCAAAACCAAAGGGGAGCAACAGAAGACATAAAATTCCGAACAACATGCCGCTTAGATCACCTAGCGGCGGTGAAAGCCGTTCGACTTCTTTAGACGACGTAGTCGATTAATAAAACGATAATGTGAAACTAAAGCGCTCCAATGATAACCATTTTTGAGATCATACAATGTGTAAGTATATAGATGGAAACAAGTGTTGATTCTAAATTAAATAATGCAAGAAGACGAAGACTTTTGTAATGTCGTTTTCTAAGTCTTAATGTCACATGTCATGTCTCATTCAGTGTGCTCCACCATATTTATTATTTAATTTTGTATATAATAATATATCACGTTATTAAAATCTAAATTCGTATATAATATAACATTTTACGTATACCTCAATAATTAAATTGATTTAAATCAACGATTGTGAATAATAATAAGTCGTTACATCTCGTAAAATTCTCATTTCATCATGAACAATGTCATGTCATCTAAAACAAGTTCTTCATAAATACTTCAAAAATAACCGCTAAACTAAAACCCTCTATAGTGGAAGACTGAAAAAACAAAGTGTCACATTCTCAACTTTATAGGACATTATTTGAAAAGTTGTCCTATAAAAACAAGTGTCCTATAAAAAAATGAGTTTATAGGACACTTTCTCAAAAAGTGTCTTATAAAGTTGCTAATGCGACACTTTGTATTAAAAATGTCTTAAAAACTTGTTAAGACGCCCAAAAGCGTCATATAAACTTACTACAACACCTTTAGATATGACACTTTATATTTTGGTCCTATAAATTAAGTATTATAAAGAGGTCTATTGGGACACTTAGAGATTATGGGTGTCCTATAAACTCAATTTTGTTGTAGTGGACATCACAAAATTGACCCAAATATAAAAATCTAGCATTTATAAATAAACGGGCATGACTCTTTTCTTTGTCCAACCTTGAATTTCATCCCCATGAGATGCATGTAATACTCAGTAATAAAGTTAGGTGAGTTCATAGTTTTCGTGGATAACATCATATCACATCATGTGTATCAAACATGTAAACTCTGTAAAAAAACAAAATGCAATTTCCGAAAACATGCAACACTGAAAGAGAAGAGAGCCTTGGCGGAAATGGATCATTTTGTTACTTACATTCTCAAGGTTGACCGATCTGTAAATGTCCGATCACCCATTGATGGATCATGTCAATATCGAGGACTTACTAGTCATGCGTCCATCCCCTTATAACCAAACTTAAATTGGCGTACGCCATATAACCGTATAACTTCATATGATACTCAAGATAGTTTCTACATAAGACTCATTTGACTGAGTAGACTGCTTAATAATAGTCCCTGACTGATATCTACTATTGATAAATCACCATTATCCATTAATGACTAATTTTCTTCAAAAGTCAACTGACAATTAATTACGATCAACCTCTAAACACTGAATCAAATAATAACCATTAACCTCAGTTTAACCTTTTTATAATTACATAAATCTCTTCCTTTTGACATACAATGTGTAATAATGATAAACTAATTAAGTTAACTTTTTTTAAATTGTTATTAAAATAAAAAAATCTAGAAAGTGAGGGGTTTGTTGGGCTAATTTATATAAACATTAGGATTTAAAGAAATAACAAAAAGATAATAAAAAAAATAGAAGAAAAAATCCATGGGAAATAGTCAAATAGGAAAACCTTCTTCCCATATGAAGTTTTTTATGATATATATTTTTAATCAGGGTTTAAACCTCATTAAATGTGAGAAGGGTGTGTGAGTTTTTTTGTTTATTTGCCGTATATAAATATTATATACTTCAAAAAAAAAACAGTTTTAAATATCTCTAATGGTTTTATAGGATTCGAACCAGTGACTTTTAATGAGTTACCAAAGACGCAAACTTTATTGCCAAATAAGCTAACCCCACAAAAAAATTTGAATAAAACCCCACAAGGTTAAGATTATGATTTGTATAGTTATCGGTGTTTAGGTTTATTCTATAAATATAAAGTGTTGACCGATTTAATTAAACTTCAGATTAAATTGTGAAATCTTAAATGCAGTGAATGGGTCAAAGGGTATTGAAGATTGGTTCTTGATGAAGACTAGGAAGTGGTTAAAGCAAATTAGGATATGTTACATTTTTGTCATTGAGAATAAAGTATCATCGAGTCATTGAGAGGTTTTGGATCAACACCCTGCCCCAATCATGACCACCCTACCACCACGTCAATATCGTCACCGTCACATCCCTTACCCTACTCAAGCCTGTTTTTAACATATTTTGGGCCCTGGGCAATTTGTAAATTTTGGACTCTATATATGTCCAAAAAAATTCTTAAATAAATGTTTTTAATCATTAAAAAAACTAACTTTCATACAATAAATACTAATAATTCATTAAAAACAACTTCTTCGAGCATTTTCGGATACAAAATCATCAATAATAAAACAACTTCTTCGAGTATTTTTGGATGTAAAATCGTCAATAATAGCATCTAAATCAATATTATCAAGCATGTCTTTTTCAATGCACAATATTGTCAATTCATTCAATCTTTCTTGTGACATTGATGACCTCAAGTACGTCTTCAATTACTTCAATTTTGAAAAACTCCTTTCGGCAGATGCTACGGTTACATGTACTGTCAACATAATTCGATAAACAATTGAAACATTAGGGTAACAATCTACAACTTTGACAAACTCAAGAATTTTCACTGTCGTCATTGATTTATATGGCAAAGTCACCTGTAACACCTTTAATTCAAAATAAAATCATTTACATCCACATCCGCCACAGTTTTATGATAAAAGGTATCACCAAACTAAACACAAGATCCCATCAATTTATTTTCATCCAATGACTTTAGTTTATCATAATCGAATAGGAATCCAAAAATACTTTTAAATTTCTTTAACTGTTCAAATTTATTATTCAATGAAGAAATTGTCATGTCCACAATGGTTATAAAATAATTAATTTTAAAAGTCTCCTCTTCCGATGCTTGCATTTCTTCTTCACTATCATTTTCATCAAATTGTTTTTTCTTAATAATACGACGTTTAATTCAAAATGTAGGATCTATATCACATACTATTTTTTAGCAGTATTCATATTTGATGCAAACTCTTCATTCCTATACTTTTCAAAATACTTTACTACACCTTCAAATTGTTCTATGGTAGCATTAATGCACATAGATTGTAATTGTAACATTTTACTAACCATGTTTATTGCAATAAAATATAATACGAAATAAAAACTCAAAATTTTCAATTGCACATACCAAACTATCCGCTTCATTTTTCATCTTGGCATCATCACATGATTTGTATTGCCGAGCTCACTAGATTGCTAGTGGAAACAAAAAAACATAAAACTTATTCTCTAGTATATCGGTTATTGAAGTTGGCTTTGGTTTTGCCAGTTGCTACCACAACAGTCGAAAGATGTTTTTCTGCTATGAAGATTGTGAAGTCAGATTTGCGCAACAATATCGGTGATGAATTTTTGAATGCGGCAATGATATGTACTATAGAAAAAGAAGCACTTCTCACAGTTTCAAATGATGATGTAATTACTCAATTTCAAAAGATGAAGAGTCGTAGGGCACAATTGTAAAAGGCAACTTTTTATCATTTTTGTATGAAATTGAAGTTAATTATTATTTTATCTTATATCATGCCCCCTACAATATATTTTTCTACATCCCGCCACTGACTATCACTGTCACGCCCCCACCCCTAACTCCCCACCACCAGGTCCCAACCCCAACCCTATCCCAACCCCAACCCCTAACCCACCACTGACCACCATGCCACTACAGTCATCGTCACACCCCACTCCGCAACCATGCCACCATTATCGTCATCATAGCTACCACCCCACCACCCATCTCATTGGCCACCATGTCATTATTGTCTTTGTCACAACTGCCACACCCCACCTCTACGCCACCAATTTCGTCATCACAGCTACCACCACCACCCTCCCCCTAAATAAAGATAGTGATTCCAGTTCTTTGAGAGATTCCATTCCAATTCCTATCAATCAAACGCATAGTCAAATTCTATCAAATTACATTTCAATTCTTTAAAGTCAAATTCCTTTAATAGATTTGGTTCCACCAAATTTTATTTTACGAAACAAATACCCCTTAGAGTTATGTTGGTTTAATTTGTTAACCGTTTCATTTTACTAGTATACATGGTGAAAATTATTAAATTATGATTACGGGTATCTTTACATGATCTAAGAAAAGTTTAAGAAGGCAAAAGTCAATATTAAATTCCTAGGCTGCATTTGCAGACTTTCCCTTGTATATTTGTAGATACACAGAAGCTCATTTGGTTATTTGCAAATTAATTTTGGGTGATGACAGAGAAAATTGCATTAAAATGAAACCATCTTTGACAAAATTCTTATTTTAGAAAACTAACTTTTAAATTTATCATTTTTAGGAAACCTTTTATATTTCCAAAATCCGATGTCTTGGTTGGTATTTTACCTACGACATGAAATCTTAGTTGGAAATACACGTCATATTATAAAATAATAAAATGTAAAAAATAATTGAATATTTTTTGAAAGGAAATTGATAAAATTTTACATGATTTTTACTAAACAAAAATTCTTTTTAATATATTAAAATTAAAAAATTAATTGGTGTCGGCATTCACGTGTTGGAAGGGATTTTTTGGTTTTTGGATTGCTTTGTTTCCTTATCTAATTTGTATTATTATTATTTTTTTTAATTATTGTTGAGATGGATTTTTTAAAATCCAGATAATATATTTATATTATATTATAAAGTATTTTATAATAATTCTTAAAAATTATTTTTTATAAAAAAACAAAAACTTTTAAATAGCTAATTTAATATTAATATTGATATATTATTTTTAAAATTTTATGATATCTTCAAATTTAATAAAAAATTAAAACATTAATTTTTCATCAAAACCACATAAAAACTGTATTAGAACATCTACAGAAACAAAATAAAACAAAACATTAAAATCGAGATATATATCGTTTAAATGATAATTTTAATAGTTGGTTCCTTAAAATCGGAATTAGACCAAAATTGGTTCCATTTATATGCAATTTTCCGTTACATATTTAAACAGCGATTGAATTATATGAGGGTTGTATATAAAATTTTCAACGTTTACCAACTAATAGAGAATTTGAGGATGTCTGATAATAGTCAAGAAATTAGAGGCATGAAATTAATTTTATATATATATATATATATATATATATATATATATATATATTTTATACAAATAAAAAAAGCCAAGAAAGTTGTGTCTGTCTGGATACAGATTTTTTGAGATTACTACTGATTGACTATTCAGAAGCTCTTCCATAATGAATCAATAAATGATATCGAAAAGGTCGTCAATAATTGATTTCATGCATGGTTGAATGTTTTGTAACAAGTGTATAATTTTAAATAAGGATTTAATTATTAAAAAAATAAGATTTTAATTAAATAGATGAGAAGATGACTTTGACTTTATATTTATTAAAAGATCATTAATTTAATTAAAATCTCATTAATATGTTTTTTAGGGTTTAGGAAGAAAAATTATATTATTGTAGTATTTTTAAAAGTACATATATCTATGCTATATTATAAAGCATTTGACAAAAACTCTTAAAAACCATTTTTTATGCATGAAGTATTGCATATTGATACATATTACTTAAAATTCAAGATTACAAGTAAATTATGCATAATGACAACTTATTAAAACTTCATGATTGAATTTATTTAACTAACTACGGATAAATATAATCAAATAGAGGATAAACATCTCATTTTAAAATATAAAAAATCTAAAATATAATTAGGGGATAGTTATCGAATTCTAACAAAATAATTAATTATTATCCTTATAAAAAAATTATATTATTAAATCAAATATAAATTAAATCGTTATTGAACCTAAATTGAAATTATAATTAAAAAAGTTGAATTAGAAAATTACACAAAAAATAGAAATTTTAAATAGTTAATTTGATATTAATATCGATATATTTTTGTCAAATTTTTTATGATATCTTCAAATTTATATTTTATTCAAAAATAAAAACATTATCGCTTTTTCAAAATCACATAAGATCATATTATAACATCGACTGAAATAAAGAATAAAATAAAATATTAAAATCAAGATACATCTCACTGCATTGCGTAAATATCATCCTTTTATATATATATATATATATATATATATATATGTGTGTGTGTGTGTGTGTGTGTCAAATGCCCATGCATATTTATTACGTTTTATAATTAAGAGTTGAATCATCCATCTATTAAGAGACCCGGTATACTACTGTGTCAAACGACCATTATGTTATTTTAGTTGATAGAATATAATTTTTAATGTTTTAAAATTTTAAATTAATAGTACAATAATATATGGTAATGTATCAATTATTTATTGAATATCGTGAATTTATTAAATATTCAAACAACTTATTATCTGATTATTACATAGCTTTTAATAACAAAAACACATTAATATACTATCTTTCGTAAGACGTTTTATTACAATTAATTATCTGATTATTCAATGTTTTATTATTACTTTTAAAATGCATATCCAAACACCTTCTTATAATGCAACTCGTCTTAATATTTTATTATTACTTTTAAAACGCATATCCAAACACCTTAAAATGCTACTCGTCTTAATACAGGTATTGAGAGACGTAATAATCATCATGGAAACCAAGACATGGATCAAACTTACGAAATCTAAGGGTCCGTTTGGTTTGCAGAATTGTTTTTGAGGAATTTGGATTTCAATTTAGATTTGGATTGGAATAAATTTGAAATCATTGTTGTGTTTGGTTTGTAGGATTTGGATTCCATTATTTATAAAAAAAAATTATAAAATTAAATTACATTTTTATTAATTGACTATTACAAAACAAATGTTGTTAACATTTTTTAAAATATTGTTTCATACAATCCTACAAAATCTTATGTTTGTAGGATTTCAATTCAATCTTAAAATTTCAAATCCGAACAATCCAACAAACTAAACATGATATTGGAATGAATTTGAAATCCAAATTCTTTCAATTCCTACAAACCAAACTCCAATTTATTGGAATCAAGTATTTAATCCAAAAGCAGTTAACCAGTCATTTATTCAGCTCTAGTTTATTTAGATAACACATAAATAAGAACAATGTCATTTAGTTTTTCTTAAACATACATCTCAAAGAACCACAAAGGTGGTGCCTGATTGGTTTAAGCTTGACTCCAAAGGTCAAAAACACTAGGAGGTCCCAGGTTCAAATCCAATGAGAAATAAAAATCTCATTGTGGCCGCGGAGGTTCAAATGTGGTGACTCCGGGCTATCTGCAAAGCAGGTGATCGCCCTGAGATTAGTCAGCTCGCATATCGGGTTGGATATCCAGGTTAATAAAAAAAAAACATACATCTCAAAGACAATATCAATTAACAAACACATGTTATGTAATTTATATTACAAAGAATAGACTTGTCGTAATCTCAAAGACCAAAAATGTCTTTCGGTAATCTAAGAACTTCAGTAACGACCACATATGTAATCAAACTCAGACCAGACCAGACCAGATCAGATCAGACCAATATCGCTGAGGGGTGATAGATATAATCAAACTGCTAAGCTATAATAATATTATGCTAAAAAAATTCATCTCCTGTATCGTAAGTGTGATCGATTAAGAATAAGAACGAAACACACCTAAGATAACAACTTCTTCCCGTCGTCATCTCTCTTCTGCAGATATTCACTGAAACCATTAGCAGGGTACAGATCGGCAGTAGAAGCTAACGAATCAGTGTACGGGATCGACATTTCCTCCATTCCGCTCTCGTTCATACCCACGAGTTGCTTCATCATTTTCTCGCGATCCATTTCACTCATCGAGATGCTTTGTCCAACAGCAAATTCCCGAGGGACTATTCTTCCTTCGAGCATGCTAACAACTGCTGACATTGCAGGCCTGTCGGTAGGAGAGATCGTAGTGCACAATAGAGCGAGATTTATAACTATCATCATCTCTTTGACGTCGTAGTCTGAACCCAACCTCGGATCAACTAGCTCCATCAAATTACCCTCATCTTTCAAATCAATGGCCTAAAATGGAGTGTGTAAGGGAAGATGATGAATGAATTCAAGTTTATAAGTTGGAAAAGGTGCATGTTAGGTACCCGATCAAGAAGAACAAAACGATTCTCCTTTGCCCTGTTGACAACATTAGCCATTCCGCTTACGATCTCTAAAAGGACGATGCCATAGCTATAGACATCGGCTTTATCCGTGAGGTAACCACGCAATGCGTATTCGGGAGCCATATATCCACTGAAAAATTGTAAAGAAAAGGGAAATTTTGAAGTGATCATTGCAACAATGGTTTTGAAAGATGGTCAAAACCATAAACAGGGCGTAAACTAGCGATAAACAACTCACTAAGTTCCAGCAACGCGGGTGCTTATATGGGTGTCGTCCTCTTCATCAAGCTTAGCCAAACCAAAATCAGAAATCTTGGCGTTTAAATCCTTATCGAGCAGCACGTTGGTCGCTTTGATGTCTCTATGCACAATCTTCAATCTTGATTCTTCATGGAGAAAAGACATCCCTCTCGCTATACCGATGCAGATCCTGTATCTTGTTGGCCAATCAAGTTCCAACTGCCATTGTTTAGGCCCTTCAATCCACAAGGTCAAATAATTTAGCAAAACAACGAACCTCGTGGCTCCTAAGAGAATGCTTACTTATGTTGTTTTATACGCATAAAAATGATCACTATAAGAAAATCAGGTTTATAGGACACCTAAAGTGTTTATAGGACCAAAAAATAAAATGTCTTATCTGAAAGTATTGCAACAAGTTTATAGGACACTTTTGGACGTAATAACAAGTTTTTTATGACTTCCTTAAAATAAAATGTTGTATTAGCTATTTTATAGGACATTTTTTGAGAAGTGTCCTGTAAACCCATCTTTTTGTAGGACCCTTATGTTTACAGGTTACTTTGTCAAATAGTGTCCTATAAAATAACTAATATGACACACTATTTTAAAAAAGTCCTAACTCCTAAAAACCTTGTTAAGATGCCCAAAAATGTCCTATAAACTTATTGCAACACTTTATTTTTTTGGTCCTATAAGGCACTCTATGAGGATACTTCAACAATTAAGGCGTCCTATAAACTCAATTTTGTAGTAGTGGATGCAAGAGAAAGACCAAGGAGGATAGAAAGTATGCTGTGAAGGGGTGAGGAGGAGGCCAAGGCCCTCCATACATCACATCCTACCCCCAGACCCTACTTCTGTGTGGGATACATTGGATTCTTTTGGTTTGGTTTATGTATTCCACTTAAAGAACCCTTATTCCGTTAGGAAGTCCCTCCTCGAGAGTCAAAATTTTGGAAACGGAAAGAAGTTACAAAATTTAATTGATTCCGAGGGATGAAAAGTGTATGCTTACCAAACAAAGCACGGGCAAGACTGTTGTTTTCCATGTATTCATACGCTAACAACAATTGGTTTCCTTCGATACAGCATCCATGCAGCTTCACAAGATGGGGGTGTTGCAAAGCAGATATCATGCCTAATTCATTCAAGAACTCCCTATTTCCTTGCCTTGATTTGGAAGAAAGCTGTTTCACAGCTATTAAAGTGCCATCCGGCAATACACCCTTCATGAAATACACAAATGCTAAGTTCCAACATGGTAGAAAAGTTTTTCAATATTCTGTGATCGAAGAAAGTAGTAAATCACCTTATAAACAGAGCCAAAACCACCTTCTCCAATCTTATTAGCATCATCGAAATTGTTCGTTGCATCTTTAATTTGCCGCAATGTAAATGAACCAGTTACACCAGCCAACTCTGTTGATCAGCAATGGGAACATGTAAGGAAAAAACTTTCGGAGAGATAAATCTAAAGAATATCGGGTTGGCACGTAAATACCTAAGTCCATAGTATCTCTGCGCCGCAAATAACCCCACCACCATAGAACTCCTAGAATTAGGATGATGATGCAAACTGCTCCAACCACAATTCCAGCCACAACCCCTCCAGACACACCATCTCCTGGTCCATCTTCTTGTGGCTCCACCGTAGAAGCTGAATAATCAAGCAAGCGAAGATAAAAACAATGACAGAGAGACAAACAAACGATAAAAGCCATTCAACAAAGAGAGATTCCAATGGAAGCACAAAAGAAACAGAAATATGTGAACTAATACATTTGTGCACATTGTTCCCATTTTGCATATCACAAACAAGTTTGAATTTGTTGTCAAGAAGAGCTTACTCCTTTTGGTGAACAACTATAATCGTCACAAATAATACAGTCAACTCAAAACCACGAACACCATCAATCACAAAACTCGGAGAAAGTTGACAGCTTACTTGAATTCACAGAAATAGCTGAAATAATAGGACCGTATACTCCTCGACTTGGGATATTGATTGTTCCTTTTCCAGCCCAATAAAGTCGGATTTCCAAAGTACTGGTAACATTTACAGAATGTGTACTCACATATGCTTTCCCAACCCCACCTGCTTTTTCACTGATGTCAAAATCCTTCTCCACCAGCACACCCTGACACAGTACCAACCATTTTTAGATAAACGATTAAGCTGCCAAAAAAGAACTAAACTGAATCCTACATCACGATATTTTACAGAAAAACACAACAGAAGCCCATCTTTTTTACTATAGCATTAACAGCCCCTCCCGAAAATTTTCTAGTTGGTTATTTGCTATTATACTGGATATTTCCAGTTCAGACACAACACTTGATCTTTTAGATAATATACATATATATGAGAATGTACCTGAATATAGATATCAAATACACGCCTCCCAAGGCTGCTATATGTTCCATCATCAGTAAAAAAGATCTCGGCAAAATGAAGGCTTACGTTATAGCTTCCTTCAGCCATACACAAACTATAATATGTCAAAGATAAGGCTGAGGCTCGTGCACTCTGGTACAATTCAGAGTTGTTCACCACCCTAGAAGTACTTGGAGGAAGATAATTGTCTTCACCATTATTATCCAGGAAGTGACCAGTATTGCTAAACCGCCATCGCCTATCAACCATAGAGAAATATGAAGCACCACCTGTCTCCACGTCAGCTTCATAATCCTTATTTTCATCCTCTAGTGCAGATCCACCACAGTTGATATATAGGGAGTAGAAAGCTGATCCAAAAATAGAAATAGGAAATCTAAATAGGCATTAACACATCAAGCTGAGATAAAGATTAAAACTCACCAGAAATCACAAAATGTAAACGATAAATTCCACAGCTAAACATTGAGAAACACATGCCTACAGATAGGCTAGTGATTACTGACAAAGAATCTGATGCCATTGTAAACAATCTACTTTATGGCTAAGTCACAACTAGATGAACTTTGTAAGCTAAAAACTTCCCTAGTTAAATCCATATCAATGAAAAGGACTAAAAACGGTACTTCCTCTTTGGAGCCATTGGCAGTCTTTATCTATATTTGATTTCTTGCGTTTATATCATTAATAATTTTTACTTAAGAAGAACATCATCAATGAGTTTAAATTGAATCAGAATAAACATGCCATATAAATTCACCAACATATGAGAAATAATATGAAAGTTTAACTTACTTCTTGGACAGCGGTAATCCTGCAAGCATGAGACCTCTTCACTGGTACAATAGTACAAAAACCAAAAGAGCATGACACACAGAAATGACATTCCCAAATCTTTATTTGGATAAAATAATTCATGGCACAGAAACTTACGACGTGTTATCCATTGAAAAGGCAGCAAACAAGTTTCTACAAGAAACCGCAAGATTAGCTGGTATAAGAAACACTTTGGAGATGATACTTTTGAGAAAGAAAGAGTTGCTCTTACCTTCTCCCATCCATACACCTTAACCCTTGTGAGCTTTCAAACGTAAAATTGTTGTATGAAAGATCACTGCAAGAACATTCACAACATCAGTCGATAAGTGTCTTTGAAGTCCAAAGTGGGAAGACCCTCCCTTCATGAAAGCTAGATAAAGAAATTAATGTTTAATAGATGGAGACATCGACTCGATTATGGTCTGTTACTCGGAAGTATACATGCCTCAATTAAAAGTTGCTCAAAAAGTTGAACCTTTTCGGTGGCAAGCTGGCACGTTCGTAACAGAATATCCAACATGGGGGAATAAATTATAGCATAATAAAGATGATGCCAATCGTATATATGTTCCCAGCGTCACAAACAAAAATTACATTCTTGCCTTCCACATAATCGAAAAGTTGAGGAAAAATATAAAAAAAGTTGTGTCTATGGAGGGTTTAATTTGACAACTTAAAACAGTAAATTTTCCAACAATTCGTATACCCCAGAAGGCTAGAATAAACAACAGTCTGGAAGTAGCTTTTTGTATCCATGAAGTAGAACTAATGATTGTGAAAACATACCAGAACACAGCAAGGGAAAGCATAGAAGGGTGATGCTGAAAGAGCATGAGAAGCACAATATGAAGTATTGACCTTAAGCTACACTATGTAGTGTTAGGATAAGCATTTTGCCCTTTATTTCTTAAGATGAGGGATCTTAAGGGATGGGTTCGTTTAGTACTTAGCATACCAAAGATAAGACCCTTCTCTTAAGTTCTGCCGAAAATGCCTTCCAATTCATCCACAAGACTGAACGAGACTTCCTCACGACTTCCAAAGTTGCTCAAGAAGTCTCACGGAGCAAGGAAAAGTTATGGTACATTTGCAATGAAATGCTCGCAAGTTCCATAGTTTCTTACCTAAGTCGTCGTGACATCCAAGTGACTTCTAAAGTCACTTATGTGAAAACGCAAACGACCTAGAATCCTATACCATCGAGATGGTGAGTGACTCCAGGTCGCCTTGAAGCCACTTACGACCAGTGATGGGTTTTTAGTGCCAAATTAGGGTAACATTTGTTGTAATCCTAAAAAAGTATTTTCTCCCTTGTTCATACACACACCACTATGATGCATTGTGAAAGTGATCCTCTCGGCTCCTCCGCCTGTGATTTTCCTGTTTTGGGTTTACACGTAAATCTCGGTGGACACTTCTATATCCCTACTTATGATGCATTTTATGTGGTTTTCCATGATTTGTTGCTTGTAGACTATAACTATATGCATGCTTATAATGCAATTATTGTTACTTAATTCCCAATCTGGTTTTTGTGAGCAATAGTTGATATTAGGAACTACATTGGTAATTTGGCCTCCCAGTCAGGGGTTCAATCCTCTCTAAAGGCGAGAAGGGTGTGTCAGCTTATTTGTTGCATTTTCTGTATATAAATATTATATACTTCAAAAAAAAGTGCAATCACTAGTGTGATTTGTGCCCCCTATTCATAACATGTTCCCTACACCAAACGCTTCACATATATATATATGCATGGAATGCAACACAAACGATAGAAACATAGTGTGATTTGTGCCCCTATTCATAACATGTTCCCTACACCAAACACTTCATATATATCTATATATATATATATATCTATATATATATATATCTATATATATATATATCTATATATATATATCTATATATATATATATATATATATGCATGGAATGCAACAAAACTATAGAAACAAGTATGACCCAACTGTACTTATTTTACTCGTACAAGTTTTATGGTAGACAGACTTACATGCTATCTGCTGAGGTCGTCCAATCAGGCACTCTTCCAGATAACATGTTTCCAGTAAGATAGCTGAAACATCAAAATAAAAATAGCACAATTCACCAATATACCTTGTTTCTTCCAAGCTGCTTGATCAGCTAAATACACTGCCAACCCAGTGAAAACAGTAATTATGTGGGATAGCAATACTTCAAAGTGAAATTCTTACATGAAGTCTGTTCGTGCTAGATCCCTGAACTCATCAGGAATGGATCCATTGAGCTTGTTAAAGCTGAGGTCTCTGCAAGAGTGAATGATGGCGTGAAATCATGTACAAAACAAACCAGAAATATTTCAATTTAATAGTCATTTCTTTCTTCTTAACACAGAAGAATTTAGTCAATAGCATTGGACCTTGGTACCACATTGCAATACCAAACAAATGTGCTTAAAGTTGTTATCAGTTGAATTGTTGAAGACAGCCAATAGCATTGGACCTTGGTACCATATAAAACACTAAGAGGTGCAAGAACCAATAGCATATAACAAATGGCCATTTAATTTTTCATTTTCTTCTTCGATGTAATTAGTTAATACATATGGGCCCTTGTTATCGATCAATTCTTTTTGGCTCTTACTATATAACAAAAGAATTTAGTATTTTTATGTACTACCTTCTTTGGACTACTACTAGATGCTAAAGAAAGTGGGCCCCTAGTATTTTTGGGCTTTGAGAAGACGACCGTTCCCAGGAACGACCTTATGGCTGTTACTAATTTTCAGAGCCTACACCTTGTAGTTTGCCTAATTAAGAAGTGTATTTTCCACCAAGAAAGCAAAAGGGGGCATAGGTAGAGATGACTAAGAGAAGGCGGCAATACCCTTTAATTTATGCTAAAAGGGGGCAGTGGAAAGAATATTCCAAAAAGGCACGTATTTGTGAGAGAGATAAGATAATGGCGGATTTAAATGGACTAGCCATTTGAGGTGGTTCTTTGTGGTCGATTTTTCCTGTTGAACAGAAGAATACCCAATGAACGAAATTGGCCTAGTGGTATCTTGGTCTTTGGCCTCCAAGGAGGAGCACCAAAAGTGACGAGGGTGTGTAAGTTTATTTGTTGCATTTTGTGGTATATGAATATTATATACTTCAAAAGAAAAAAAAAAGAATACCCAATGAAATGGTCATGACCACTAGCAAAGATCTTAAGGGCTTGGTATGGAATGTGCTCAAAATGTACTAGCACATTCAAATGCAGGCAGCAAAAAAAGAAGTTACCTAGAATCTTCCTTTTTATTGATTAGATAACATACCGGCTTATGTCAATGAAATTTTTTTTCCTTTATAACATTGATAATTAGAGGAAAAGGTAAAAATTACTAACAGAACTTTCAGAGTGCTTCGGTGGGAAGCAAGGGATTTTGGTAACTCGCCAATTAGATTGCAATTCCTCAAGATCCTGGTAAGATTGAAGTTATAATGCATTAAAAGAAGAAACTGGTAGAAGTCTATTATGAAAAGCGTTAGAAAGTGATTCAACTCACAGGTTCTTGAAACTTGTATTAGTAAAGGATGGAAAAAGTGTCTCTGGTCCTCCCAAGTCGCTGATTCTCCTGCATTTCTTGATTCTGTCAATACACATACTTGACCAAAATTGCATGTAAAACAAATAGATGATGTATGACGAATTACTGACAAGTCTGATAAATTTGCCAAGCGAGTAAAGTTAACAGGTATTGGTCCCTCCAATCCACTGGCCTGCATACTCCTGCCATTCAGAAACTTTGATTCAATCTAATTGCTATATACAAGAAGTGGAAAATTAAACAATAGGCAAATGTCTCACAAGGTCTCTAGACGCGGCCATCCTCCAATAAAATCAGGGATCTTCCCAGAGAAATTGTTACTGCTGATCCGACTGCGAAGGGAATGGAAATAAATGGTTAGTTTTGTCGGGCCAAATAAAGAATAATCAAATCCAACCAGGTAGAACTCACAATTGCTTCAACGTGATCAGATTTGCAAGTGATGGAGGCAACTCCCCAGTAAAATAGTTGCCGTTCAGCAATCTACGATAAAAAGTAACACCCGTGTACATGGTCGATAGGATGATGAGATAAACAAAAGCATCAACAATACTACCAACAAAATTCATGAAGTCTTACAAGCTCTCAATGCTTGATAGGTCACCAAGTTCCTCGGGAATTCTTCCAGACATCAGATTGTCCTCTACATTTCTAAATGAACAATAGAACTGAAACCATAAATCAACAGCAAACAGAGTTTAAGATTACAATAACTTACAGAGATAACAGGTAATTAGAAGTTTACAGAGTTTTGAGTGTGGTAATATTTCCAAGTTCCTTTGGGATTGATCCATTTAATCGATTCGCGAGAAGAGAACTGCAAAGATTTAAACGCATGTCATCTTAAACATCACAACGCAACACATATTCCCCACAATAAGTTTTTTGATGTCAAACTATTACTTTAAAGTGCAAATGCGATCCAATTGCGTTTCAAAATCAAAACCTTGTTGAAAACCATCTCAACATTGAGATCAAAAAGTAAAATTTGACATCCAAAGTCAAGCTATTCTATCTATGAACTAAACCCATATGTTAAAGATTATTGATAAAGAAGTACATGTTTACAATCTGCTCCATGGAACCCCATTCTGGAGGGATGTTACCACTGAGAAGGTTGCGAGTTAAGTCTCTGTAGGAATGAAACACACAAATCAATAACTGAATACAGATATTGGAAGTTAAATTAACCAACAACAAAAGGAAGAAGGGAGTGTACAGAATTTGGAGGTAACGGAGCTTGACGAGTTCCGGCGGGAGAGTGCCTTGCAGGTTTTGCCCTTTAAGACTTCTGCATCTCGTACCAACAAAAAGACCATTAAAATAACATTAAGTTGCTCTTTTTTCAATGATTCAGAAACCCTAATTTTGTAATCAATTCATACTTCAAAAACTTGAAACCCATTCGTTTTTTCTTTCAGAGAAGGAGTTCGCCAACTCCAAGAAGAAGCACAAATTGCCATTTTTGTTGCTTCCTTGCGAATTGCAATTGGGTTTTAGATATAGCAATTAGAATCTAATTCGGTTTACACTTTGCAATCCGGGTTTAGATTATAGCAATCAAAACCTGATAACAGAAAGGATGTTGGCCGTTGAGTTTGAATCAAAGTGATCATGATGAAATATGAATGTCTTTTAAATTACTGAATTGGTTCCCAAGGTTTGTTATTTGTTACGGAAATGATCCTTTATCTTCATTTATCACAAAAGAACCCTTCATCTATTCTATTTGTTTTGAATTTGGTCCCTCACTCTAACGTCCATTCACCATTCATGTTTAAGCATGAGGGTGAAATTGTAATTTAACAGCTTTTCTTTATTTTAAGATTCTTTTTGACAAACTTCTATATAGTAGGGGCCAAAATACTATATTAATACTATTTTTTGTCTTTTTGTTTTTTATCAATTAGTTATTTTTATACCAAATAAATTTGAGTCGGATATATGTCAATTTCCTCAACATCTCAAGCATGAAAATTTTCCGACGTGATACCTTCTCCTCTTTCAGAAATTTGACTGCTGTGAACCTTCTCCCATTTCGGAAACTTCTCCGATGTGAACCTTCTCCCATATAAGAAACTTCTCCGATGAAACAGTTTATACCTCCATCCCTATTCAGGTTGCTTAGATCGATGTTTGATATCCTTTCAGATTTGGATTCATCTGATACGACAGTCGCAGCGCCATTGCAAGTGGTAGTGGTCAGCTAGAGAAGAGGTTGGGTGCGGTTGGGGTGTTGGTCTCAGGTGGATGGAAGGGAATGACGCAGTGAGGTATTGGTCTCAGGTGGATGGGAGGGAATGACGTAGTGGGGTATCGGTCTTAAGTTGTAGCGAGAAGAGGGTGGCGATATGGTACAAAAGGACTGAGTGATGACTGGTGACGGTTTAAAAGAAGACTATATGTTGACGTTGACCGATGATGTTGACCGAGGACGAAGACGTCCATGGGACGGATGCAAAAAACATGTGACTCAATATTTTTCGTTTAAAAAACTTAAAATGATAAAAAAAAAAAAAAAAAAAAAAAAAGTTGAAATTTACTCTTAGTATAGTTACATTTTGGCCCCTGCTTTATAAAGGTTCGTCAAAAAGAATATTAAAATAAAACAAAAGTTATTAAATTACAAACTTACCCTTGTGATTAACGGAAATAATGGACGGACGTTAAGATATGATGAATTGCATAACTGGAGGGTATTTTTGTAATAAATCCATAATTTACTCTTTATTTTATTATTGATTGGAAATTATATTTATTAATTTTACAAATTTTATTTATATGTTTTATGCAGATAATGTATTGATTTCAATGCTTAAATACATATCATTTTTTTTTATGTGTGATGTAATGTAAGTCTTTTTATATAATGAAATCTTGGTCTTACATAATAAAATAATTTAAGACTTTAGACTTCGGATCATCAAACTGTTTTCATGAGACCTGTGAGACCACCTTTTTATACTTGAAACTTCACAGCAAAACATTATGAAGGTAAAAAAAAGCCGAACTTTCACAACAAAAGTTTTTTTTACCTTCACAGCGTTTTACTGTATTGTTTCAAGTATAAAAAAAATAGTCTCACGGGTCTCATCATTTTTACAAAAAAGTTCAAAATTAAAGAGTAAAAAAGACATGTAGATAAGGTTGATTTCAAATCACTTTAATTAATCCTACAAAATATCGTCATGACAAAAGGAGAAAAGCATATTTCTGATAAAATAAGACAATTGGACAATTTAAAAGATATCGACAATCATACTTGTACATCAACAATTATTAGATTTATTTACGTCAACTTCAGTTATGATAATGTTAAAATATTGCTAATTATTTTCACCTAAACCATTTTTTATGCGTAAAAATCCAAAATCCAAAAAAAAACTCTTTTTAAATAAAATAAATCCGATTATTTTATAAATTTCGGTTGCTATTTTGCAATCATATTATAGTAATTATAACATAAAAGACTTTTGGTCTAGTGGTATCGTAGCTTTTAACTTCCTAAGAGATCAGAGGGTTCAAACATCACCATAGATGAGGAGGGTGTGAGTTTATTTGTTGATTTGTCGTATATGAAAATTATATACTTCAAAAAAAACTTTATTATATAATAAATTTGTATGCTAACATTAATATTTGATAGCCATTTTTTGGCTGTATGAGACTCAAATCAAACAAAAAGAAGTATGACCGAAAAAACATTTAAAAAAAACTTAAGCGAGTATAATTTTGACAGTCTAATTTGAAAGTTAAACAGGTTCTTAGTTGTTTGACGAATATCTTGTATAGTAATTCACCAAAGAGAGTAGAAGATTACATGGTGACGATATTGCAGTTTGTGACGTTTGATGAACAAGAGACGTTATTCTCAAAAGTGTTGTTAGTAACAACGCCCCAATTTCCTGTTCCGCCACACGGATCCTCGTTGAAATCCCAATCTGTACGCAACTTCCTTCCGATGTCCCTCAACGCCTCCACTGCCATAAAATTGAAACCGAGAACATTAAGTATCAGATACTGAGTTGATGTATGCTTGCAGACATGTTCGTATCGTAAATACCTTCATCAGAGGGAAGACACGTTGTGTTAATGGACGCAAAACTAAAAGGGAGTAACAGAAGGCATAGAATTCCGAACAACATGTTGACGTAATTTAGGCGATGAACGAAGAAGAGGTGACCAAATTATGCATGATTATATAATGGGGAGAGGATTGAAATTTAGTGTTCACTATAAACCAAATGCAACGAAGACTTTTAGTAACGTTGATTCCTAAATCACTGTCACATGTCGCTTTCAATGTGCCCACTAATTTCAATATTTAATTTCATGTTATAAAAACATTATATTGGAATTCTAGGAAATCTTTGAGAACTGGTGTATCATGTGTTATTTGTTTTATATTGTAAAACTAAAAGTATATGTAAAAAAATTTCATATTGTGAACCAAATATATATGAAAGAAACACATTGTGAAACAAAAATATGTTAATCAATACATTAAATACTATTCTTAAATGAAAAAGAAATAATATGAAACAAACCCTTAAGGTAGAAGTTTTCATGCTGGTGGTATATATATTTATATACATATATATATATATATATATACACATAAAAATAATTAAAGTTTGTATGGTAGAGCCCTCTCCCTATCACCAAGAGGATGTTCTTTTATATATTTATATACATACATACATATATATATATATACACACACGCACACATAAAATATATATCCCCTTGTGGTTGAGCCATATTTATATCTTCTTATAGCCACGAAGGTTTAAATATGGTGACTCTGGTCTATCTGAAACTGGATGGTCGTCTTGAAATTAGTCGGTTTATATAACGGATTGGATATTTAGATCAATAAAAAAAATGTAAATTCTATACGGTAGAGCCCTATCCATAAAAGTAATGCAAGTTTTGTACGGTAAACCTATCCCTATCACCCAGAGGATGTTCTTTATATATATTATATATATATATATATATAGGGGTCTAATCAAATGAGAACTAATTAGTTTGTGGTAACTGTGAGAACCAATATTAACCACAAATCAATAGATAAATTAGAAAATTTATAATTTTGGTAATTTTGAATTAAAATATTAATGCAAGGATATTTTTGGTATTTTAAAACTTTCCTCCCTCCTCTCTTCTCTCTCCGGCCACCATCCTCCGGCCACTGTCTGCCGGCCACCGTCCTCCGGTGATACTACAATGGTATCACAATGCATCATATATGTGCTTGGGTATCACATTGATGTCGTTTGTGTGGTCGATCGAAGATGTAACACAGTGGTATCACTATGCATCTTATATATGATTAGGTATCACAATGTATCTTTTGTTTAACAGAGTCAATATTTTTAGGTATCACAGTGGTATCACCGGAGGACGGTGGTAGGAGGCCGGAGAACGGTGGCCGGAGAGAGAAGAGAGGAGAGAGGAGAGTTTTAAAATACCAAAAATATCCTTGCATTAAGATTTTAATTTAAAATTACCAAATTTATAAATTTCCTAATTTATCTATTGATTTGTGGTTAATATTGGTTCTCACAGTTACCACAAACAACTCAGTTCTCCCTTGAATAGGCCCCTATATATATATATATATATGTGTGTGTGTGTACACACATAAAAATAATGAAAGTTTGGTATGGTATAGCCCTATCCCTATCACCCAGAGGATGTTCTTTTATATATATATATATATATATATATATATATAGATATAGACTCGTAAGATCAATTCTCAACCTTTGTATTAGATCTACAATATGAACATTCATAATCACAAAATTGTCATCGTACAAATATAAACCATTAGATCATTAACTTATAAAATTGATCAATGAATATAAATTGGTCTTACGAATCTTACGGGTCTCACGAAAAACTCTTAGTCTCACATGAACCCAACTGTATATATACATATATGTGGACACACATAGAAATAATGCAAGTTTTGTATGGTAGAGCCCTATCCCTATCACCCAGAGGATGTCCCTGCTTGCTGCCTATCTTGACCACTAGTCTTTAAAAAAAAAAGTTATTTTATAACTTATCTTTTAATTTTCTTTTTCTAATAATCAAACTTCATTTTTTATTAAAAAAAAAACTATAAGGTTTGTATGTTTGGTATCTCAAATGCAATGTACTTCTATTATGTCCAATAAATTAACACTTTGTAATAATTTAGAGTCTTATTGTTTAATAAATTAACCATTTTATTTTATAGGTGTATGTCATGAAAAGTATTAAATGACCATTACGAGTCTCATCTACATGACTTAAGCAAAGAGTCTTTGACCGAGCAGTATCGTAGTCTTTGGCCTCCTTAGATGTCAGAGTTTCAAACCTCACCAAAGATAAGAAGAGTGTGTAAGTTTATTTGTTGTGTTTGTCATATATAAATATTACATACTTAAAAAAATAGAAATATCAGTTAAAACTTCTATTGAAAATTATCAATGAACATTATCATCAAAACGAGAATCATTTATTGGTCATCGGTCCAATCATATCCTGTAAAAGAAGAAATCAGAGGTATGAAATTGATTTAGAATATAGGAAACTACCAAATCCATTAAAATATTAAAAGCTTATTGACAATTCAAAAAGTGTTCAAGAACGAGTAGGTAATTGATATTCATTAAACAAAGAAAATTATGAAGGATCATTCGTGGTCGTTTTCTAACCATATTCAATAACAGAGAATAACACGTAGTTGATGACATGTTGCATAACAGTGAAAAAACTTCTTTTGATAATCCATAAAATTGTGATAACCTTGAGAATTAATGTATCATGTACGTAACAACTCGTTCAACAACAGGGATAGAAAATGGAACTTGTGAGCTCCTTACAAGTATTAAGTTGTGGACTACCAATAACTTCTACCATGATTTTAAACTGGATTGGAAGGACATAAATGCAATTTTGAACGACGTGTTTTAGAATAAGTTGATGTCTTTGACCGGTAGAAGCTTGAAATGACATGAACACACGTGTAGCACAGAAAATCAATATTAAATTATTATTACTTTATATAATTTTCTTTAAAAATATATTAAAAATAATAAAGTATTCAAGAATCTTGTAAAGTAAGTCATTGCGTTAACTTTTTTATAATAAAAAAAGGGTCAAATTCATTAAATAAACAACTAAAATTCAAAAAAGAGGAAGATGCATCGTAGTTTACAAACGATTTTTTTGTTTAAAAGTTAGTAACTGTTGCATGCACTCCAATCTAATCACGTTTCTCTCTTTTTTTTCAATAAAAACATTAGAATACGGTTTACCTACGTTCAACCGGGGACATATCTATCGGATGTAATGCGTACATATATATATATAACACACCAAAATCAAATACAAATATACCCAAAAGAGCTAAACTGACACTTGAGTCAACATCCGAATTAAGCTTCCTTATCTTGCCCTTTGTCTACAACCCTCTTTCCTGTAAAAAAGGTTAATCAATAACAGGTAAGCTATAATGCTTAGTGAGACTATATAAAAATACATGGTTATAATATATTATATATATATATATATATATATGTATATTAATTGAAGAATAAGACGAAAGCTATTATAACATTGAAAACCAACAACTCAGATAATTCCATGAATACATTCCAAAAGACCTACCAATCTAATAAACATAACATACCAATATCAAAATCAATACATCATAAGTTCAATAGCAACATATGTTCTTACCGACAAACTCGACAACGAAATGACATTCAGGCTATACGGACACCTATCACATGGCTCAAGTACTATGTCAATTAAGCATATCATGAATTAAATATAAAATATCAAGAATAGTGCACCATTTCGACCGTCATCTACCGGGTACGTTGATATATATTGAGAATTCAATATATAAAGCACTCATTTTACGAATTCTTAGTTAGATTGTTTTCCTTTATTCTATATCGAGTCTTTTTATTATTTTATTTTTCCTTTTATTATTATGGAGCTAAAACATGTGATTGACTTGTTTCTACACAAAATGGAGTCTAATGCAAAAATTGCTAAATTGTTTGACGCTGCAGCATTGATGCAGTAATGAGCTGATGCCTATATAGCTTTTTGAAGATCTTAATGGATAAGATGTTGCCTTTTTGTGGATTCCAGAAGATTTTTTGGGCTGCTGACTTTTGTGAAAAATTCTAGTTAACTTTTGTTGGGATTGATGTAGTTAATTAGTACATTGGGTTCTCACTTGTTATCTTTTGTGTATTAACCTTTGGATCATCTTTTTGTCACTTTATGGTTTAATTTTGTATAAATAACGGTGTGAGGATTTATTTGGAAGCATCCCAAATCAGTTTCTATAAGCTGATTTTTAGACTTTATATTGTGAAGTAATCCAAGTTCTTAAGTTGCTTTTCATCTTTAATTTTCGCTCTTTACTTTACTCTCTTTTACATTTCTCGCTATTTACATTCCCTCATTTACTTTACGCAATTTATATTTGTCTTTACTTTCAGTTATTTATTTTACTTGACATTTATTTTCCGTTATGAATAGCTAATTCCATAGCTTGAGTGTGAGACGAAAAAATGAGATTTTTAAACCGAAAGAAAGTAGTTAGTGTTTTCAATAACGACGTTCCATTATTTCATTCAAGTTTTTATAAAATCGAAAGACACTTCTTCACGAGTTGATCACTTTGAAAGTGTTAAAGTGCCGTGGTCTTAGAGATAAGCCATTGAACGCACGTCAATTTGAATGATATGAGAGGTAGACTTGAGAAAGTTGTCGACAAGGAGACTTGTCATTTATATCTTTCAAACTAATTAATTCTTGACATGTTGGTCACTTGTTAGAGTGTTAAAATGTGGTAGATTCAGAGATGAACTACATAGAACACACACCAACTTGAATGATATGAGAATCGGCTCGAAAAGTGATTTTTTTTACGAAGAAATTTGTTTATCCATATATTTTGAGGACATTATTTGTCACTATCCCTGGTCCGGATACCACATAGAAATATGGGTTGAGAGCTATAATATAGTGCAATAGTGAAAGTCCGAGAGGAATATCCTCAACATAAATGGTGGAACTAAGTTATGAAAAACGGTTTGATGTAGCATCCCTACAACAATAGCTACTGAAATTCGTGTTTGAGTCTCACCACAAGTCTTACACCCATGCTATCTTTGTTTATTCTGTTATCTGCATTTAATTACCTGAATATCAAACTGAAGTCTTCAATTTCAACTTCTGAAATCATCTCTTTCATTTGACTCTTATTAGACTTTTGCTACAATCTCCGTGGACGATAAACCGGTACTCTACCACTTTATTACTTAGAAAGACGATATTGGGCCATATTGTATACTTGTTTTGTGGTTCATTTCATTTGTCTAAAGGTGTGCGAAATAACCTACCAAGTTTTTGGCGTCGTTGCCAGGGATTGACAAGTTAAAAGTTCTTTTTAAGAGTAAAGTAAAAGATTTGATTTTTCTAGTACCGTTTGAATCATTTTGAAAGAGGTGTATGCCACGGATATACCGCAGGGAGTTTCTCGAATTTGATCCCGACATTGAGAGAACATTCCGCCAAAGAAGGAGGCCACAAAGAGCATTTTTTGCTCTACTCTCTTCCAACATGGCGTTACCCTCCCCAATCATTCCAGATGTGCCACATTTGGAAAATCAGCCGCCTATTTTTGCACCAATACCACCATTTTAGAACTTTCCACAAGAACACCCACATAATGATAATAATTTGGGTAATGATGACACGAAATCGGAAAATAATGATCAACAAGAGCGCAAACTCCAAAAATAATTAATCTGACAAATTCTAAAAATGGAAGAATCATGGACTATGCTATCCCTGATTTTGAGCAATTAAATTCCAAGATAGTTAGGCCACAAATGACAGCCCTCTATTTCGAACTAAAATCGATCATGTTTTACATGTTGCAAACAAATGGACAATTTGCCGGATTACCATCGGAAGATCCTCACTCACATTTAAAGTCTTTCATGGAAATCACTAATGCTTTCTTGATCCCGGGAGTGTCTAACGATGCTTTAAGACTTACTTTATTTCCATTTTCTTTACGGGATCGGGTAAATGCATGGTTTAATTCATTACCACCAGGTTCTGTGCCATCATGAAGTAATATGACTGAAAAAAAATTGCGAAATTTTTTTCCTCCCACCAGAAACGCTAAGTCCAGAAATGAAATGTCTTTTTTTCTAAACAAATGGACGATGAAGCTGTTCCTGATGCATGGGAAAGGTTTAAAGAGCTGTTAAGAAAATGCCCACACCATGGCATTATGTACTGTATTCAACTCGAGATATTCTACAATGGGTTAAGTCCCATGGCTAAACAGATGCTCGATGCGACTGCAGGAGGGGCCTTTACAGCCTATACCTATAATGAAGGATATGAAATCCTAGAAAAGATTTCAGCAAACAATAGGCATTGGGTTGATCCACGTGCTCACCCATAAAAAAAGACTGCTGGAATTCATGATGTAGATGCATACACTACATTAACAACACAACTCACTTCCATGACCAACATGCTTAAAAACCTAACTTCTGGTCAAAAGTGCAACAAGCTGCTACTACACCTGTTCCAATAGTCCTCCTCTCAGTGCAATGTGTTTGTTGTGGAGGGGAACATTCGTATGAACATTGCACTTATAATTCTGAATATGTAAATTATGTTCATAACAAATCTAATCCCTGTTCCAACACATACAAAGCCAGTTGGAGACAACACCTGAACGTTTCTTGGAACAGTCCCAGTTTGAATCCACCCACTCATAAACAACAGGAAACTTCTAATTTTCAACCACAACATCATGCAAACAACTCTAACTCTCAAAATCACCAACAAAGTTTTCAAAATGCTCAACCATCTTTTCAGAACAAACCTCCTCCATAGGCAGAATCATCATCCTCTTTGGAGACTATGATGAAAGGGTTCATAAACCAAACCCAAACACTCATTAATCAACAAAGTGCTGCCATTAGGAATCTGAAGACTTAAGTCAGTCAACTTGGACTAAATCAAAACTATTTTGCCCAGTAACACAGAAGTCCCTAGAGACCTAGGAAAGGAATATGTGAAGGTAGTAACCCTTAGGAGTGGGAAGGAGTTGACAGAAAAAGTGCAAAAAGACAGTGCACCAATTTTGTCAAAAACTGATGCTACAACATTGATCCCCGCTAAAGAAAAACCAGTCCAACTTTTAGAGAAGCAAATATTTGAGGCCACCACTTTTGTTCCCCCAAGATCAGACTATCTCTTACTATTTCCAGAGGATGCTTTAAAAAAAATCAGAAGGGACTGAGGTTTTTGAGACTCCTAAATTTGACATTTGTTGATCCTTTATATTTCACTTATGACGGGCATTGGATAACCTTTTTTATAGAGGTACGAAAAAGGAACATAAAAGGACCAAGGACTCCTTTACCAAACGCTTACCTAGATAAACTTTTATAGTTGGGGGCACACTTAGGGGTGTAGAAAAAAATATTTCATAACCAAATAATTCATCCGGATGAAAACGGTTTTGTGTTTTCCTTTTCGGCTTAAAGGTTCAGTTAACCGAATAAAGATAACCTATTCATGTCGATTTTCAGTTGACTTTTTACTAATTTGAGGTGTATAATTTTTATATTTTATATTTCGAACGAAAATATCAGTGTGTGTTGCAAATAGACCAATTAACAATTAAGATATCAAGTTGGGGGTCTTTGCCTTGTTCTTGTTGAACACAAACAATAGGAAAATTTACTAAACAAATTTTTTTATAGCATTTTTTTCAAAAAAATTGGTGGGTTTGTTGGGGGCCTAGGACCCCTACCACCAAGCACCGGATCCGCCAGTGATCGCAATCATTTACCGGGAAGACTCTCGGTTTTCTTAACAGATAAGATTTTAGGTCCTTATTATATTCATCCAATAAAGATAATATGACTTTGCATACACTTACTCAAATGAATGTTTACCAAACGCCCTTAATTCAAACATACATCTAAATCTTTTAGTCTACAACAGACATATTTCTGGACTCGATCAAACAAGCTGACCAAGTCAAACATGAGCATGACCCTAAATATCTAGATATTTGAAAGCTCGTTTTTTAATATTAATCTTAAAATTAATTTCATTAAAAATTCAAACATTCAGACCCTCATTGGAAGATCGTTAAAAGTCAACGAGAACGTCGCAATAGTTTCTCTCTCGACTCAACTTTCAAGAGCATCTATCTCTATCAAAATAAATACAAGAGAGTTTGACATAATCTTCATGTTGAAAGATGTAAGCTAGACATCACTATAGCAGTTATGACTAGTTAACTGTTATGACAGTTACAAATAGAATCGTTGTCAACCACAAGGGTGGTGCTTGATTGGTTTGAGATTGGCTCCAAATGTCAAAAGTACCTGGAGGTCCTAGGTTCAAATCCGAGAAGGAATAAAAATCTCCTTGTGGTCACGGATGTTCAAATGAGGTGACTCCAGGCTATATGCAAAGCAGATGGTCTCCCTGTGATTAGTCGGCTCGCATAGCGAGTTGGATATCCAGGTTAATAAAAAAAAAATAGAATCGTTGCCTTGAAGGGGTACAAAGGTTCTTTAGTATTATATATATATATATATATATATATATATACATATGTGTGTGTGTATGTAAAATATAGTTTAATATATATCTATATTACAACAAACCATTTTCCATATATGTTTAATCTATTGATCATCCTTAAACTCTGTGTTGTTTTTAATAATATAACTGAAAATAAAACAGAAAACTGTTAACGTTTAATGCAACTTTCTTTTTTCTTAAATAATGTAACATGTTTTTCTAAAAGTAAACTATGTTTTTGGCCCCTTTGGTATGTTATAAATTGTGGTTGATTGTTCACATTGATCGTTTGCAAATTCTTATGGATTTGGTTTCTCAAAATAACTCCGTTAAAAATGTCGTAGAGTAGGTGCAGGAGGGTTGATGCCGTTGCAGAAGATTGGAAAAAAAGGAATAACTCTGTGTATGTGCAGAGGCGAATCCAAATTTTTTTGGAAGTGATATCACAAAATAATTATTGTAATATATGAATTTTCAAAATTAATTATAAAATTATTACAAGGATTCCATTTTCAGCTATTTGAGTTGATTAAATATAAATCAAATATTTTATTCTTTAAAATAATTGATACATTGGTTTTTTTTCAAAAAAAAAAATATCTCTTAACAATTTAAAACTAATCGAATGTTGGTGCATTTTTAGTTTTTCACTTGTTGATTTTACATGATCAGATTGATATACAAGATATAAAGTTATTAACCTTAAATATAAGCAAATTAGCCGTAATGTCTATAGAGTTAACCTCTAATATATACAAATACTACAACAAAATCGGGTTAATAGGACGCCAACAATTTACAGGCATCCTAACAGACAGTTTTATATGACTTAAGTTTACCAAACAATAAAACGTTCTATCTAAAAGTGTTGTAATAAATTTATAGACGTTTTTTAGACGTCTTAGTAAATTTTTTAGAACACTTTTAATACAAAACATTGTATTAGCTATTTTTTATGACACTTTTGATAAGTGAAACACATTTTTTATACGACACTTGTTTTTATAATACATTTTCATATAGTTTTCTATAAAATAACTAAAAAAATGTCTTCAAAAACTTGTTACAACACACAAAAGCATTCTATAATATACTTATTACAACACATTTAAATAAGAAATTTTATTATTTGATCTTATATAAGTCTTATAAAACAGTCTATTAAGAAACTTTAACATTTTTTTCATTCTATAAACCCTTTTTTTTCACTCAATGATCACATATGAACCTCCTCTTAACATTTTCTTCTCTGTATTAACACAATATTTAACATTCTTAACCACATGGGTGGTGTCTGATTGGTTTGAGCTTGAGTTCCAAAGGTCAAGCATGCCTATAGGTCTCATGTTCAAATCCAAAGAGGATTAAAAATCCTCTTGTTGTTACAGAGGTTCAAATGCGATGACTCCGGGTTACCCGCAAAGCAGTTGGTCGCTCTAGGATTAGTCGGCTCGCATAGAAGGTTGGATATCCAGGTTAATAAAAAAAATATTTAACTTTCTTTTCTATTTAAACCATCCCCTAATAATATTTTGGAAATGAGTTCTATTTCAAGGGATCAAATGTGTAAGAATCTGCAACCACATAAACCGTCAATGTAATAAACACAATTAAGTTAGTCAAAAAAAGGGAAAAAAAACACGATTTGGAGTCATCGCTAAACCATATTCCGTCCCGCCTCTTCTCTCTGCAAATAAGACCGACGATCACTCAGAAACACAGACGGAGAACTGTAATCGAGACATCAGTTTGATAAGAAAGTGAAGCTATGGAGGCTGGATTCAAGTTCTTCGTCCTTGTTTTATTTTTATCGACGATGAGTCTCCGTGAATTTGGATCTTCTGCTCGATTTCTGCCTGTTGAAGAAGGTACAGTGCTTCTTCGTTAAGTCAGACTCTGTTTTATGTCAGTTCATCATTTTCTGTCTGTTTTGATCACCAGATGATCAATGCTTTAATGAGTTTGATAGCTCCTGCATCTGGAGAAAATTTGTTTCACCAACGTCATCTTGTTAAAAGTCGCATATATTATGTTTGGTAAATAACTTATAACACAAGTTGAAAAATTATTATCACCATCACTTACCGAGTAAAACTCTCTATCTTTATCGCTCTTTTACCGGGTAAGATTTTTGACCTTTGTCATGTTCATCCCGGTAAGAAAAATTATTTGGTAAGCACTTACCGATAAGTGTTTAACAAACGACCTCTAAGTTAGATTACATATCTAGAGTTTGTTTCAAATACAACCTATCGCATTTGTACAACCAATACAACCCAATAAATTGAGATATTTATGGAAATGATGAGAGTTTATTTATTATGATTTGATTATTTATAGAAGATGAATATGGTTCATTAATTATGATCAATACTATATATTAGAAAACAATCAAAATTTCTATGAAATCACATATTAATCAAATGAAATGGACGGTTGAGATTGAGTTGTATTGGTTGCACAAATGTCAAGGGTTGTATAATAACCAACCTCTATATATCTAATATGATATAGAAGTAAATGTTAAAAAATTAATCAATTATAATATTACGTAATATAACTAAAATAAATCGGTAATAGATTTTATCATATTAAAATAAACAGTAAAAAAAATAAAAGTTTTCCAATTATTTAAATTAGATGAGTTTTTTTCCTAATATTGGTAATATAAT